TCATGGGACTCCCTGGAAGGCGAAATTCCAGGCAATCTATCCCGGTGCTCCAAGCTTGTGCATCTTGACCTAAGCTACAATAACCTAGTTGGGAGAATACCGCCGGAATTTGGTTCTCTGAGGAACCTTGAATCTCTAGTTATTCAAAACAATAGCCTTACAGGAAATATCCCTCCTTCCATGGGGAATTTTACTTCCCTGAGTTTACTATCTGCGGCTGCAAATCATTTGGAGGGTAATATTCCTGAATCCTTAGGTCAGTTGAAAACGCTAAAAGGCATTGGATTTGGCGGAAACAGACTAAATGGTGACATCCCTGTTTCTGTCTATAATCTTTCTCAACTGGAGGTTTTGTCTCTGCCAAGTAATCAGCTACATGGAACTCTTCCTTCAGCATTAGGTCTCATGCTTCCTCGCCTTGAGTATCTCCAGTTGAGAGACAATCAGTTCTGGGGGGTACTTCCAGCCTCTTTGTCAAATGCCTCTGAGCTAGGCTGGATCGACATTGGACACAATGGATTCAGCGGCAGAATAGCAGTTGATTTTGGAGGCCTGCAAAATTTTATTTCCCTATTAGCTGCAAATAATAATTTTGGAAGTGGGGAAGTACTGGATGGATTGCAGTTTCTCAGCACCATGACAAACTGCAGCCAATTAGTCGCAATTTCCCTACAAGACAACCAAATAAAGGGTGTCTTGCCCAACAGTATCGGCAACTTATCATCCCGATTCTTAGACTATATGTCACTTGGCGGAAATCAAATATATGGAGGGATACCTTCAACATTAGGTAATCTCATTGGCTTAGAGACCTTGTATCTTGAAAGTAATCAACTCACAGGGACAGTTCCAAGTACAATTGGTTATCTTCAAAAGCTTCAGCGGCTGGCTCTTATTTCCAACAAATTGTCAGGAGAAATTCCAGAGTCTGTAGGAAACCTCTCACTGTTGAATGAACTCTATTTAGATGATAACAACTTGGAGGGATCCATTCCACCAGCTCTCGGAAACTGCAAGCAGTTGTTACTCCTAGGACTTTCTCAAAACAACTTGAGTGGTACGATACCAAAAGAGATTTTTGGGATATCTTCCCTGTCCATTTCATTAAATCTTTCTCAGAACAGTTTATCTGGAACAATCCCATCAGAGGTCGGCACCTTGAAAAATTTAGCTGGATTGGATCTTTCAGAAAATCACCTGTCAGGTGAAATTCCAGGGACCTTTGGCGGTTGTAGTAGCCTTGAAATCCTTTCCCTTGCTGGTAACTCTTTCCAGGGATCTTTTCCTGAATTCATTAGTTCTTTGAGAAGTGTCCAAATTCTTGACCTTTCTAGTAATAATTTTTCTGGCCAAATCCCCCAATATATGGCAAGTATATCAATTAAGACCCTGAATTTGTCCTTCAATGATTTCTCGGGTGAGGTGCCAAGACAAGGTATTTTTGGAAATGCTAGTGCAGTATCAGTTGTTGGGAACAGGAGACTCTGTGGAGGCATTCCTGAACTACAGCTGCCAAAGTGCCACCCTCCGGGAGAGTCAAAGAAAAATATGAAGCCTCTCAGGTTCATCATACCAGTGGTGATTACAAGTTCCTTCCTGGTGATAGTGGTAACCTCAATCTCAATTTTCAGACTACGGTCATTTAAAAGGAGAAGGACCCAACCAAAATTACCAAACTTCTTAGGCAGACTCTTCCTGAGAGTCAGCTACAGACAACTTGTTCAAGCTACTAATGGTTTCTCTGCAGAAAATCTAATTGGTGCTGGTAGCTCTGGCTCCGTATACAAAGGAGTGCTGACTGAAGGAGGAAACTTGTCGGTGGCTATCAAAGTCTTTAACCTTCAACACCATGGAGCCTTCAAGAGTTTTATTGCTGAGTGTGATGCAATGAGAAACATCCGGCATCGGAACCTCGTGAAGATTATAAGTTCTTCCTCAGGTCTGGATTTCCAAGGGAATGATTTTAAAGCTGTAATCTACGAGTTCATGCCCAACGGCAGTCTAGAAACTTGGTTGCATCGAGCAGATGAACATCAGCAGCACATTTTTCCTATACCAAACCTTCTTCAGCGAATTAATGTTGCTATTGATGTAGCTTGTGCCGTTGATTATCTACATCACCATTGCCACAAGCAGATTGTTCATTGCGATCTAAAACCAAGTAATATTCTACTTGACAGCGATCTGACAGCCCATGTTGGAGATCTTGGGCTGGCAAAATATGTTCATTCAGCTCCAAATTTACAGGAAACGAGCTCTGCTGGAATCAGAGGAACTATTGGATATGTAGCTCCAGGTAAGAAAGTACAAATCTGACTGATTTTTTTAAATTAATCTTTCTTACCTATGTTCATTCAACATCATATACAAAACAACAAATTTTAAAACTGAGCTATTTTTGACAATTCATACTTTGGCTGTCTGACAAGCTTCAACATTAATGCAGAGTATGGCTTAGGTGCAGAGGTATCAAGTAATGGAGATGTCTACAGCTTCGGAATCCTATTGCTGGAGATGATGACAGGGAAGAAGCCTACACATCCTTTGTTCACTGGAGGCCTTGATCTCCATACATATGTTGAAATGGCAATTCCTGAGCGCGTGATGGACATTGTGGATCCGGTACTTCTGTGTGAAGATCACAGAAGAACTACAGCAGCCAATAGCAGAAGCAGTCCACTGGGAGAAACAAAATGCAATTTACTAGAGCAGTGTTTGATTTCATTGCTTAAAGTTGGCTTGGCTTGCTCCATTCACTTGCCAGAAGATAGAATAAATATGACGCAAGTTCTTTGCAGATTAAAATCTATCAAGGACACATTTACCATGGCAGAGCTTTAAAATGGCTCCGATAAACAGAAAAACCTTGGAAATTCATAGTGTACTCAAAGGTTTGTATTATGATCCACGAATCTCTCATTTTAATGTATGACCTTTTACTCTTCTTGGCTTTACACATTTGTTTTGATCAAATCCCCCCAATTTACTCTCCACATTGCAGTTAATCAAGTCAATTTAACACTAGCCTTTTCGCACATTCTCGATTGAGTTGAAAGTAAATTGTTCAATTCACCTTAATGCTTAAATAACAGTTTCTTGTTTCGGATCAACTCAAGTTAATAATGTTTATATGTTGTCAGTGTGTGGCAGTGAACTAATTAACTTCAGGTGTGACAATCTTTAAGCAGCAATGACTGACCTTTTGCTTAATGATCTGAGGAACGTTGAATTACAAGAAGGTTGTTTTTGTTTTGTTTTGGGAGAGGGGGGGGGGGCGGGGGTAAGAGATTTCAGTCTTTCATCTTGCTATTGCATTATGATCCAATCCATATAGTATGAGCCTTTGAAAAATGTTGGACATTGGGTTAAGATTCAGCTATAATTGATGGTTTTCTGTAGCAGTAGTAGAATGGGATGCATAACAATGGTGAAAATCAGCAGAAAAAGGCTTAGCATGGGCTCAAGATGAAGTTGGATCAAGCTCTAAGTTTCCAGATTAAATCCATACGTGCATAACCAGATGTTCAGGGAAAAGAAGAAAGAAAGAAAGAAAAATGCCGGGGTGTTTGGATAGGAATTATTTGTCAAAAAATTGTTTGCTTGCATCGCAAACACATTTTTCAACATACTATTCTCTTTATCTTTTCAATTATTTTTTTATCTCACATACATCGCATTGCAAAAATACTATAGTTATTATTTTGACTACTAGTTTTTGCATCTGAATTCATTCTGTATTGTCTAATGTGACATAAGTCATTTTGTGTGGAAAAAAATTGTAGAATGATTAACAAAAAAGAGTACCATGTAAAACTTTTTAGTTAAATTGTTATCAAAGTTTTTAACTGTCCACGGAATGCATAAGGGATGTATTACCATATTTCTATATGACCTTCACTTATTAATGTTCATAACTTGAGGAGGAATATTTTGGATAATAACAAAGTTTTGAATTTATTTAATTTGATGATTTTTTTAATAGAAGTGGAATATTTTGGAAATTTATTTCTTGATTTCTCAAAAAACAAAGAATAAAATTTCAGCACTAAAAATATGGATGATAGGAGAAGTTTGGGCAGTATGAAGAAGAATGGATAAAAATAAGAAATTGGAACCCTTTTTTTGTTAAGGCAAAAAGTTGATGTGGCTTAGGCCAGGGAAAAAAGTGCAATAAAGATAATGTAGGGGAAAAAAATTCAAATCACTCTAAACATTAAGAGGTTTAGTGCATTTAACCGTAGTTTGAGAGGGGTTCACTTCATCCCAGAATTAATCTCAAAACTTTGACCCTTTCAATTTTTTTTTTTTTAATCCCAATAGTGGAAGGGTAGAATTTAAGAAGTCGAAAGGAATAAGGCAAAAGATTCAAAACTAGGAATGACAACCATGGGGGCTAATAGGATGTGGGGTGAGGCGGACTCCCTTGGCCCGCCACTCGTTAGAATATATATATATATTTATTTATTTATTTATATGTATATATGTAATATTTAATTTAATTAGTTACAAACTTATAATAATATTATTATTACTTATAATTATTATATAATGTATATATATGTATATATGTAATATTTAATTTAATTAGTTACAAACTTATAATAATATTATTATTACTTATAGTTATTATACAATGTATATTAGTATATGTAATGTAATTGATATTATCAATTATACTAGTAATCAACTACATGGAAGTCTTCCTTCAGCATTAGGTTTCATGCTTCCTCATCTTGAGTATCTCCAGTTGAGAGCATGGTTCGAAATCTCGGCCGAGTCGTCACCGCGACGGATTGACTCGGCCGAGTCACACCGAATCACTCCGAGTCAAGACGAGAAATCAGCCGAGTCACACCGCGACGGATTGACTTGGCCGTTTCTTTTGCTATTTTTTAATTATTTTTATTTAGCATACTTTTTTATATTATTAACAATTTTTAGAATATTAAATACTTTAAAATTTGCGTCTCACCGAGACCGCGATCGATATGCCGAGACCGATGTCGAACGTTCCGGGCCGCGACCGCGACTTTGAACCATGGTTGAGAGACAATCAGCTCACAGGGTTACATCCAGCTTCACTGTCGAATGCCACTGAGCTAGGCTGGATTGACATTGGAAACAATGGATTCAGCGGCAGAATAGCAGTTGATTTTGGAAGTCTGCACAATTTTAAAACACTAGCGGCATCCAGTAATAATTTCGGGAGTGGGGAAGTAAGGGATGGGATGCAGTTTCTGAGTACCATGACAAACTGCAGCAATTTGGTTGCAGTGAGCCTACAGAACAACCAAATAAAGGGAGTCTTGCCCAAAAGGATCGGCAACTTATCATCCCGATTCTTGTACTATATGGCACTTGGCGGAAATCAAATATATGGAGGGATACCTTCAACATTAGGTAACCTCATTGGCTTAGAGACTTTGTATCTTGAAAGGAATCAACTCACAGGCACAATCCCAAGGACATTTGGTAATCTTCAAAAGCTTCAGCAGCTGGCTCTTATTTCCAACAAATTGTCAGGAGAAATTCCGGAGTCTTTAGGAAACCTCTCATTGCTGAATGAACTATATTTAGATGATAACAACTTGGAGGGATCCATACCACCAGCTCTTGGAAATTGCCAGCAGTTGTTACTCTTAGGACTTTCTCAAAACAACTTCAGTGGTTTGATACCAAAAGAGATTTTTGGGATATCTTCCCTGTCCATTTCATTAGATCTTTCTCAGAATCATTTATCTGGAACCATACCATCAGAGGTTGGCAACTTGAAAAATTTAGCTGGATTGGATTTTTCAGAAAACCATCTGTCAGGTGAAATTCCTGGGACCTTTGGTGGTTGTAGTAGCGTTGAAATCCTTTCCCTTGCTGGTAACTCTTTCCAGGGATCTTTTCCAGAATTTATCAGTTCTTTGAAAGGTACTCAAAATCTTAACCTTTCTAGTAACAATTTTTCTGGACCAATCCCCCATTTTTTAGTAAGAATGTCCATAAAGTCCCTGAATTTGTCCTTCAATGATTTTGTGGGCGAGCTACCAACACAAGGCATTTTTGGAAATGCTAGTGCAGTATCAGTTGTTGGGAACAGGAGACTCTGTGGAGGCATTCCTGAACTACAGCTACCAAAGTGTCAGCCCCTAAGAGAGTCAAAGAAAAATAAGAAGCTTCTCAGGTTCATCATACCAGTGGAGCCTTGAAGAGTTTTAGTGCTGAGTGTGAAGCAATGAGAAACATCCAGCATCGAAACCTTGTGAAGATTGTAAGTTCTTCCACTAGTCTGGATTTCCAAGGGAATGAATTTAGAGCTTTAATCTATGAGTTCATGCCTAATCGGAGTCTAGAAAAATGGTTGCATCCAACAGAAGAAGATCAGCAGAAGATGTTTCATAGACTGAACCTTCTTCAAAGAATTAATGTTGTTATTGATGTGGCTTGTGCCCTCGATTACCTACATCATCATTGCCACAGGCAGATTGCTTATTGCGATCTTAAACCAAGCAATATTCTTCTTGACAGTGATCGCCTAGCCCATGTTGGAGATTTTGGGCTCGCAAAGTATCTTCATTCACCTCCCAGTTCATTAGAAAGCAGCTCTGTTGGAATCACAGGAACTATAGGATATGTGGCTCCAGGAAAGAAAGAACACATATATTTGATTCTTTATTGTTTGTATATATAATTATGCAACATCATATAAAAAACACGAAAATTTTCCCTTGATACACAAGTTATTTTTGACATTTTTTGTTGTCTGAAAAGCTTCAACATTAATGCAGAGTACGGCTTAGATGCCGAGGTATCAAGTAGTGGAGATGTCTACAGCTTTGGGATCCTAATGCTGGAGATGATGACAGGGAAGAAGCCCACGCATCCTTTGTTCGCCGGAGGCCTTGATCTTCATAGATACGTTGAAATGGCAACTCCTGAGCATGTGATGGATATTGTAGATCCAGTACTTCTTTGCGAAGACTACAAAAGGGCTACAGCAGCCAATAGCATATGCATTTCACTAGGAGAAACAAAAAGCAGTTTACTAGAGCAGTGTTTGATTTCATTGCTTAAAGTTGGCTTGGCTTGCTCCATGCACTTACCCGAAGATAGAATGAATATAACACAAGTTGTTAATACCTTGAAATCTATTAAGGACACATTTACCATGGCAGAACTTTGAAATAGCTCTGACAGTGACATACAGAGAAACCTTTAAAATTCAGAGTGTACTCTGACACTTGTGCTCTTATCTACAATTCTCTCATTTCATTGTAAATGAACTTGTATTCTTCTTGGCTTAGCGCATTTGTTTTATGAAATTCCCCCATTTTACTCTCCATGTTACAGTTATTTAAGTAGCAGTTCTTTGTTTCTGATCAACTGAAGTTAGTAATGTTTATATGTTGTCAATTTTTCCTCAGCTCATCTTATTAGTGTTGCGGTGAACTGATAACTTCAGCAATGATTGACCCCCTTTGCTTGATGATTTGAGGAACTTGGAAGTACCGGGAAATAAAGAACTACTAATTCAGTCTTTCCTCTGTTAAGTTTTCACGATTGGTGACCTCTGCATAAGGGATGAGCAAGGAAAGAACATTGTGATCTTGTTGTCAAAATCTCTCTCTTTCCTTTTAACGATTGATTGAAGAGGTAGCTGCAGATATGGCAATTGGGTCATGATCCATACAGTACAAGGCTTTGAAGAATGTTGGACATTGAGTTAAGACTCAGCTATGACTGATGGTTTCTTGTAGCAGTAGCAGAACCAGATGCAAAGGAGTGGAAATCTGCGAAAAGGCTTACCTTGAGTTCAAGATGAAGTTGAATCAAGCTCTACGTTTCCAGATTTAAATCTGAAAATGCATAACCAAATTTCTGGGAGAAAAAGGGTTTACGTCTAGTAATGCTGTTAAACTATTAGTTTTTGCAAGGGACCAATTTCTTTAATCATACGGATGATGTTGGAAAATGCTCTGGTCTCAACTCTTTGGTAACAATTTGCACATCCCTTCTTTCTCGAGGAAACTTTGATGAATAATTAGTGCCATTATTTGTTTGATAATTTTTTGACGCTCTTTTAGACCATAAAGTTCCTTGATATGCTGGTATTCTGGAACTATTTCGCAAGTCTGTGCCTTAATTGAAGCCATCTAGTTTTATGTGTAGTGTTGATCTGTTCTTTCCTTGAACACATATCTTTTGTATGTTGAAAAGATTTTCTAAATATGTTATAGGTGACCGTGTAAGTTGCAGAGGCCAGTGGTAGTGTGATCTTTATGGCAAATTGTTGTGGTACATGCAAGTCAGATACTTCAGTTTCTTTTTTTTCTTTGGGGTCTAGAGGGATATCCCGAAATCACCCAGACTAATTCCCCAGGCTGAGCAGAGCTCGCTAGTCAAATACTTCAGTTAGCAATCCAAAAGATGAAGTATTTCGACTTACATACCGACTTTATTTACTACTCTTAAAGCCAACGGTAAGAACAAAACAATTATCTCATCAAACCAGTCTGAATCATAGGTGATTATATCCTGAAATCCCACAGCAGGCCGCTGTGGCCGCGAATTGGCTGCTACAATCACTCGCACCTATGACTACAGAGGCCCCGGATCTTCATAGTGTTAATTGTTATGGTGTTAAAAGTAACATGCTACAGAACAAGAGCAAAGAAAATAAAATTTCAAAGATTAACAGGAAAGAGCAGACAATTGGTGATGTTCTGATAGAAGTGGTACTATATTTCCAGAACAAGGGTTCAGGCCAATTCTAAACAAATGCATACATGACCATTTACAGAAAAGGAGTTCCTTAATGCCTAACACCCCAATTAAATAACATTTACCAGATATTATACTGGATCATCACATGACCCAGACATGAGTATAACTGTAGAGACAGAATACATTCAGCAGTAGGAAACAGCACACAAGAGAGAGAGAGAGAGAGAGAGAGAGAGAGAGAGGGAGGGGAGATGGAGGGAGAGGGGTTAGATCAGAGGTTAGATTACCTATCAAAGAAAACCCCCATTCAAGACCAATTGCAAGCCTGCATATCAATAATACGAGACACAATTTCGTTGTCTACTCTTGTACTGTGACCATTAGTCACGCCATGCAAAGTCTCCTTTCCCTTGTCTCAAGCTTCGGCCTCTCCTGTACTCAACTTCTGCATCCGAGCTTGACAAACCAAGATGATATTTTCTACTAATTCGAGAAGCTCCCATCTTAGAAAAGATGTCCTCATCATCACTCAGAAGGTGGTTCCCAGGTGCACTTCGGACAGAGATGTTTCCAGATTGCCTATCAGAGACATGGCCTGAGATAGAAAAGAAACGGTTATAGTCCCTGCAGAAACAGGACGCATGAAGACGTGGGAAAAAGCAAGCAATAAGAACTAATATAAGGAGAACCACATAGATTTCTTATACTCAGAAGACAAATAAAAGACATCTCAGGTATGTACGTGCCACCTTGACGACCATCAGGAGAAACTGCCACTTTTCTCTCAACCACAATGGGATTCAAGACTGGTTTAAAGAATTCTGGACTTTGAGTATCTTTCTGCGTTTTCTCTGCTTTTGTTTTCTCCATTTTTGTTTCCTCAACTGCTGCTGCAGTAAGAATACCTTCCACCTCATGTTGCTTAGTCGAGGGAAATGGTGTCATGGTAAACGAGTCCTCGAGGACATCCGAAATCTCCACATAATGAGCTGTAGTGACAATCTCATCAGCGCTGAAACCAAAAGATGCTCTGTAAGCTTCCAATTCCTCAACATCCTGCTTAGCTGTCTTGGTTTGCCTGTTCTGATGCCCATTCCCTCCATTTGAGTAAGCATCTGACTCTCTGGAGACACTTAACCTCCCACCAGACTGCGGGAATGATGAGGGATCCAGATAATATTGGGCAAATGTAGCTGGGCAGAAGAAATTTGACTCTTGGGACTTTTTGAAGCCACCAGTTGCATTTTCATCAAGCCCAATCAATCGGCCAGATTCTGACCTTGCATAATTAGTCTCTTGAGAAGAAACTGAAGGATCCCATTGAGGTGAAAACTCTCTTTCTGGAAAAGATGACGATAGAGCATCACGGGAAGCCCTTGAAACAGGTGATCTAAGAGTACTTGCAGGACTCCCAGGAAACAGTGAATATGTCGCTTGAGGATCACTAGCAGCGACATAATTTGTCTTCCCAGAGCTTCTAAAACCAGCTGAAGATGAGAGAAACTGAGCATATGGTACATCAGGTGAAGAGGGGGTAGTTAAGTGTGCTAATTCTGGAGGGGGTGTGAGAGGAGCAGTAGAAGGCTCAGTTGTGAAAGTTGAGAAAACTGGAGGAGATACCAGTTGTGTCTCATGGGCAAATGGACCAGTATCAAACATGGTTGAAGAAGGACCCCCAGGTGAATTTGCAGACAAGAAACAGCTGGGGGACTGAACTGTTGAAGGGAGTGCTGAATTTGAGAAGGAAGCAGGTGAAGATGGTGGAGCCAAGAGCGCTGCATTCTGATTAGTCAATCCTCCAACTTGAGCTCCATTAGGCTGATTGGCCACTGAAGTTGCCTCAGGGATAAGAGAAGCCGGTACAATACGTTTGTCACCTTTTTGATTGCCAAAACAAGCCAATCCACACAAACATCCTCCCCATCTCTTGCGATGTAAAAAAAAAAATTTTTTAAAAGTGAACTATTAGCTTCCATTTGTTACCCAAATAACAATCAAGCACAGTGAAAAAGTTTCCAAGAGTATATATTTTTTGTCGCAAGTGTAAAATTTCACATTCAGAAAACTACCAGCATGAACTGCCTGATTCTGTGTGAATACTTCACATGTATTGCAGAAAACCTAGGAAATCAAAGTAAGAGAATCCAGAAGGGCAAAACTTCAATCAGACGTAGCACTAACCAGCATAAGAACATTGATGCATGACTTTCATCTCATCAAAGTTGGATACTTCTTTCACTATATGAATCTCCATTGCAATAGAAGTAAGATAGCATCATCCATTAACAAGGACAATTTACTAGTTACAACTGCAAGCTAGCATCTTCCATTAAACTTAACTAAACCAGATTTGGCATGGTATTGACCTTGAAGTGCAAGCAGTGGTATGCCACAGCAGAGAGATCAAAGTCTAACTGTATTCCATGGAATAAAGAACTTTTCTCCACCCAAAGCTGAAAGACTAATCCAGTGCTATTACATCCCATTCAATACCTTCCGTTCTTCCTATTCTGAGAGTTCTTTCCCCCATCTTGTGACAAATGAAAAAGTAAAGCAGAAATAAACTAAAACCGGATGTTGTATTCTTTTACAGGGTATGGAAGAGAGACAGAGAGAGAGTGTGTGTGTGTAAGTTTGTGTGCTAGTCTCCCATATTGCCCGACTTTCCTATGAACACCAGGTTCTTTACAACTGTAAATTTCTTTCTATCTTTTGAACCTCTATGCAGTGGTTTACACTAACAGATGCAAGATGGGACACATAACAAAAGGGGAAAAAAATTATGCATGACAAACTGAAATGACTACATAGAGATACATAATGCTTGCTAATCAAAAGGAGCAAAACCATATTAAGCAAATAAATGAAGTAGGAGAAACAACTATAGCATGCTTCAGGACGAAGCAGTACTGTTTACTCCTAGAGTAAATAATTGAATAGGGTACAAAGAATAAGACATTTGTCCTTTAAAATAATAACAACGATGCCATCTCTTAGAATGATTAAGCCTATATTTTTATTCTCTTTTCTCATATACAGGGAACACAGAAGGATCTCAAAGCAGGTCGGTAGAACAACTGAGCAAACCAACTTCAATTTTTTTGAAGAGCTGTAGATTACAACAGAATCCTATCACAGTAACTCAGCTATCAAATTCATGGATTCTTGTTTACAACTTCATTTTCTTGAAGAGCTGTAGAATACAGCAGAATCCAATCACAGTAACTTGACTACCAAGTTCATTGCTTCTTGTTGATAGGCCTATGTAATAAATTGAAACAAGAAGCATCAAAGCCTGATCAATTCATTTCCTTACCCAAAGTAAACCAAACAAGGACATGTACAGAAATATATGGTAAACCAGATAGGGTAACACTATAATCTTCCTAATCATCATATTGCAGGAAGGCAAAATTATAAAGGCATAGGCTTTCATAAAGTATTTTGTATATATAACTCAGTTGAGACATTATCTGATGCACAACCCAGCCATATGAAAGCAAGATTAATGGAGGCTGAATTCCAGTCTCATTGGATAAGATGGCTAGAAACCTTGACTAGGAGATATCCATGTTCTTCACCCTCTTGTCATATAAGAAACAACAAACAACCAATGTGAACAATAGAAAAAGGAACTCCAACAGGTTTTTTTTCCTCTTTCCTATAGATAACAGATCAATGTATAATTAATTTTGACCAGAATTCAAGGTTCACATTAACATAGCTTATCTTACTCGAAAGGAAAAATGATGCACAGTGAAGAAATAAAATGCCATAGAAAGCAAAAAATTTGTTTTTCTATTTATAGTTAGTTCTGCATTGAGCAAATACAAATAGTACCTTTTCGGTTTCAGTAATCATCAGACCTTATCATCAATCATGAAATTCTCACAACTGAGAAATTAGATATGACGAAGAGGTCATAAAAAAGAATATTAAACGAGCTTATGATTGGTCTAGAATATCTTCACTTCCTTCCATTCCTTTCTAGCTTGTTCAGATGAGAGGACCTATGATTACATGTTACAACTTTAAGACCAGCAAAGAATACAATAAAATCATTTTGGCCATCACAAAATCATTAATTGTGTATTTCTGATCTCCAAAAATTGGTAAACCTTATATTCCAAATAAAAAGCTAATTTAAAAAAAAAAAAAAAGCAACTTGTTAGTAATAAAAGCTCTACTCATCTTTTCACTTTACCATCTGCATTAACTCAGGCAATGGCAAACATTTATCCAATACTTTGAAGAAAGTTCTCATATTTTCTTATCTCTAATATTTAACAATGTCAAGTTGACAACATATCTGCATCTTCTCAAAACAGTCATGAATGCATCTAGACAAGCATGCTCAGTTGGACACAACATATAGTAATGATATACAAACTCGCCAAACTACTTCCAGGGAACAAAAGGACTGCACCAACCAAATTGTTTTTAGTCATACATAGCACAGAAATATTGCAAAAATGATAGATGCATGAGACAAATAGTAATTTCTCGAAGGCAGTACAATCAAAATGAGACAACTTATAAACCTGTGTTTTCATTTGGAAGAAAAATTCTAAAAACAAAAATGTTTAGCCTCATCCTCCAAAAAAATTGTTATTATCTAACAATCTATAGCAAACCCAAAAAAAAATGGAACACTTCACAAAAAAGAGTGGCTAATAATTTTTTTTAAAAAAAGGTGGCAAACAATTAATCCAAGAATGTCTAATTGGAACTTGTATGTGCCTAAAAAATTAAATCCCGGTCCATTGACGCATAATCCTTAAAAACTATCCAAAAGACACAATATACACTAAATTGCATCGATGTCTTCCATTCCTCTGTCCTATGAGCAGAAAAAGAAAAGATCAAGAAAAGAATAAAGCTTTTATTGGCAGATCACCAGTAAAACCACTTGATTTCTATATATCCCTCAAGGATTCACAGCCACAGGGAAATATTTTGCTCCACAAGAAATTAGCTAATAACCAGCAGCACCATGGAAAACTAATATTCACATCATGAGAAGAAAATTACAAATAAAGTTTTCATAGCAACCCTATAAAACAATTAAACTACACAAATTTTTATACATGTTTCAAATAAGAACATCCACGAAAAATGCATTATACCATTGCTCGTGAACTATCCAGATGATGAGGCTACAGCCCGACCCGACCCGGTAAGAAAAGAGCTGAGATTTAAGCACCTGAATTAAGAATTTTAAAAAGTAAACAGAACTCATTATCATATAATACCAATAAATGAAAACTAGTATGATATAGAAGAATTAACCATATAGTTCTCATCAGATCATCACACAAATTTTCAACAAATTCAAGAAAAATAGAAGAAAGACCACAATTATATAGCATTCATGTTTGAGATCTGAATTTGTGCTTCAATTTATCAAAAACCCAAATGCCCAAAAACTCAAACTCTCCTCAAAATAATGCAAATCCCATTTGCAATATCACATAATATCTAACACCGTACAACTCAAGCTGCACTTCCATGCAGTATATACATAAAAGGGACAAAAGCCCACATGAGAAAAGTTCAAATAAACAAAAAATGTGAACAAAAGTGAGCTAACCTGACTTTGAAGTCAGCTTACACAATCTCATCAATGTCAATGTGATACTGAGAAAAGTAATGGCCTAAAGCAGAAAACTTTACACCGCTAGTGTGTGAAATGTGCGTGGAAAATATGGAAGGAAGAATAGTGCAAGAAACGTAAAACACACCAGAATTCCGCAGAAAATGCAAAAGGGTATCGAGAATGGAAGGAGATCCAAGGGTCGAAAGTGGAGATCTGCTGGAATTGCAGAGAAAATTCAAGGTGGGGGGAGGGGTATTCTTGGTTGGGGGTTAGGAAGCTAAAGTGAAAGGATACAGGGAGTGATAATGATAGTGAAGTCAGGTGATATTAGGGCTGGGAAAATCCAAAGGAATGGATGGAATTATGGACCTTGATAGGCAGCTAATTTTCATAGACCGGCCCCTCAGATTTGGGACAATCTGAAGTTTGGCCCCTACATGGTTTTCCAATCCTACTAACTGGCTTGCCAGCTCATAACGACTAAAGTGTAAATAAATAGGATAAATTCATAGTAATAGAATTGGCCCCCTCCTTTATTTTTCCTATTTTTTTCACAATTTGGTCTGTATAATCAATTCCATATATCGCCCCCCGCGTGAATGGTCCAGCGGTAGCGTCTCTCACCGGTGACCCTTGAGGTCCCAAGTTCGAGTCTCCGCTCTGCTGGATTCCTCCGCGCACTTATCGTGTTTGGATCGGGTTGGAGCGCCGGGCCCGGGTTGCAGGGGATTAGTCGGGCCCCGTAAAGATTGACCCGGACACCCCTGTGTCGAAAAAAAAAAAAAAAATCAATTCCATATATCTAATATGTCATAAAAATAAAACTATCGACTTACTTATATTAGTTTAGAAATATGTCTTAAATTGAACCTCAAAGCGTCATGGTAACGTTCTTAATTTGTTACCATTTGGGCAACATTTTCATAATTCTTAACTTGTTTGGATGAATATGAAATTTAAGAACACTAACATCATGTTTTCAGAAAAAAAAAATTACGATCTAAAAATTGGCTCTGAAGATGGTTGTAAAATTAAGTTGATATTAGTGTCCCTTAATCATACAACTTTTGATCAATTAGAATTGAGCAAGTGCCAAAAATTTTACTTAATTAAAAGTGATAGATAGAAGCAAAAGCAATCACAAGTCATCATGATCAGAACAAAAATAAATGTATATGTAAGTTGCAACAACTGAGATGTGTTTTACTGAGGCACTTTAGATCAGCAGCTCAACTTTGACTCCCTGTAGAGAAGGTACAGTACAGAAGCATCCCTTTTTTGAAACTGGTACAGAAGCATCCCAGTTTGTTTTCTTTTGGTGGAAGAAATCACAACTTTATACAATAGTCATCATCATATTAAGTAAATAAAAATCACAACTTGTTATATTTCCCCCAAACTAATTATTGTTCATTAGATTGACCATTTTCTCTGGTATTTTCTGTCTCTTTCTTTTCCTGATTATAGATTACAACACTGTCCATCATCTCATCCTTACAATTTTGTAGCATAAATTCCTAAGGTATATACCTTTCCATCCCTCTTTGCTTCATGCATTGAAATGTATGAATACTAATATTTTTTTTTTTTACTATATGAAAGTTTCCTGGGAAATCCCTCTTTTTCACTCTTGATCCAAACTTTTAGTTGTAAAGAAATAAACCCTTTTAGACAAATCCAAAGACTGAAAAATAAGGTACAACAATAATGGAGAATTAATTAATAATCCATCATGTCTCATTTGTAGTCTCCAATTTTTTAATCACCTAACATGTTAGGCATGTGTATATCAAATGATTTGACAGGAAATTTGGTCTTATACTACTATTGCGATAGAAGATGGTCCATCCATCCAACAATAACAAAATCACTCGTTAAAATTTCATTTGCCAATGCCCTCAGCCCTCTCTCTCTCTCTCTTTTTGGCTTTATGCGCTTGATTGATAAACTTTTTCTTTTTAGGACTTTTATGAGCATGGTTGTCTCTACTTTTTCTCATTTAGCATTTTTCTTTAGAGGAAATCAGACAATAGTAGTATTAGTACTGTGTGGTAGAGCAATAAAACAAGGAGGATATATACTTTACATTTCATTGTACAAGTATCTTCTTAAGAAGAACAAATTATATATGTACTTGCTGTGTGATTCAAATCTAGCAACAACATGGCCTTGGTTACCCCTTTATTCAAGCTAGTGTTTGAGCCACATCCTACCCTAACATGTGTGCAGTTAATAAAAAAAAATTATATTTATCTAATTTATCTCTTTATAATTTTTTTTTTATTGGTTAAGTTCTTTTATAGTGTAGATATTTACACGGAAAGATGATGGAAGTTGAGCAGATTAGACGGGAGTTGGAAGTTAGTGTGGGAAAGTGAATAGCCTCAGCAAATAAACGATTCAAATAGGTCTCTCCTAATTGTGGGGAAGTTTTTTGTTTTTTTTTTAATAAATTGGGATAACTTTATTTACCCTTGTCATTAAGTGTAGATTAGAAATTTTAAAAAATGACACGGTATGTTTACACCACACAGTGATGCTTAGGCATTGTATATAATATAGATATTTTTTATTTGAACTTCAGATTTAACGGTTTTTTGTTTTTGTTTGCGTTTTTAATTTGTCTTTGTCTTTGTCGTATTTGTAGTATTTAAAATTGACTTTGCTTATGACGTGTATATTCTTAACGTATCCCGCTATCCGCTGTAAGAGATGACGTTTTCTCGGTTGTTATTAAAAAAAAGGACCACTTTAGTCATATTTGATATTTCCTTGTCAAACTTCCTTTCTTTTATGTTTCTTTTTCCCTTTATATTTCTTGCTACCTCTTATGACGAAATTTCTGATGGCAAAAGAAAATGGGATTTTTGACAGGCCCGTAACAATTCTGGTAACAACTAACAAAGAGCAACTGAAAGCCCAATCTTGCAACTCAGATGGATCTCAGCAAATTTCTATCTTTACTTCAAAAAATTTACTAAGAGGTAATGACCGTGCAGGATTGCAAAAGATTTACCTGCAGTACATCTTTCTTTATCAATCATTGTGAGTTCAGAAAAAAGAAAGGAAAAAGATGATATGATGAACAAAATGGAAGTATCTCTGAAACATGGCTACATGGAGCTGCAATTACATGGAGCTAACTTAGGCAGCAGTAGGTACATCTTGGCTTGCTAGTCCTTCCTCTTCTAACTCCTTAACCGCCCTAACAAGACTTCTTGTTTTCCCATTTAGATGCAATCCATTCTCCCCCATCTTTTCCAGTAGCTTCTCTGCTGTTCTCCAATCTAAGGCTTTCATGCAAAGAGATCTAATTAGTTTATTATACTCATCAGCATTCGGCTGAACGCCGTAGTTCTTCATTTCTCCAATCAAGTCTAAAGCCTTGTCAAATTGTTCAAGCTTGCAGTACCCCCGGATGAGAGTATGATAAGTAGCAGGGCTAAGCTTTGAATGCTTCTTTTTGGCTTCATCCAAGACTTTGCAAGCCTCCTCCATTGCACCCCCCACTACATAACCACTCATAATGACAGTATACGTGTAAACGTCAGGTTTTAGACCCCTTTCCTCCATCATTTTCAATGTGTCTATAGCCTCTTGCATTTCTCCAGACTTGGAAAGGCCAGTGATGATTGTATTGAAGATCGTATACCCAGGAGGTGGACCTGCTTCGATCATCCTATTGAGTAACTTCTTTGCACCTTCAAAATCTTTAATCCTACATAAACCCCCAGTGACAGATGAAAATGGTTTAATAGCATGCTTGAGTTCTTCTCCAGAGATATCATCTAACATCTTTAAAGCCAGATAAACATTTTCTTTCTCTTCATGTGCTGCACCTTCTTCTGCTTGAGAATGTGAATCAGTTTCGCCCTTCAGTCTTTCCACTTCCACTCCCTTTTGTTTCTCATTTTCACAAAGTGAGCTTATCAAAGAATTTACAGAAGACTGGGGGGGATATACTTTCCCCTCCTTTGCCCACAAGTAAACAGCATGGGCATCCTTGAGCTTCTTACCTTTGCACAAATGAGACACAATCTTCCCAACTTTCTCACTATCTGGCAGTCTACCTGCATTTAGCATCTTCTCACTAACAGAGCATGCCCAATCAAAGATCCTCCTCCTACAAAGAGCATCAATAGTAAAATAATATGTGTCTGCATCTGGTACACAACCAAAATCCTCAAACTTGTTAAAAACCTCAAAGGCAGCTTTCCCCTTACCTAACCTTGAAAACATGGATAACAACTCATTCAGAGTTTCTGTACTTAATACTCCAATATCCTTTCCTCCTACCTCCTTTACCAGATCCCACAAAGCATAAGCATCCCTAGTCTTAACTTCATTGCTGATTGCTCTAACAAGCATATCTATAGCTGCTTTTGTAATTGAAAACTGACCATTCTTTAGAACCCACTTGAAAAAACCAATCAAATTTTCACCCGGAACAAACGGAGTTTCAAGCACTTTCACCACCAATTCTTCGTTCAAAACCAACCCCATTTCCTCAAGACTAGATTCTAAAGACTTCGCATCGCCACTACTCTGAAGCAAAGACAATAAATCCTCCAATTTCTGCACCATATCCTCTATTTTCTCAGTTTTTCCAGCGTTACCATCTCCACAATCCAAAACGCCACCTTCATCATCATCATCATTTCCAGCCGAAGACCCAACCAAATTATCAGCTAAATCACCAGTTTTTTCACTCTCAAAAACAAATTCAGGAAAAACCTCACCTGGGTTATCAACCAAATCCCATCTTGGGTTAGATTCTACAAAACTAAATCCAGGGTTTTCATCAAAACCATCAATGACCGGTTTCTCAGACTGAGAATCCTCATTTTCAAGATATGGGTTCGAAGAAAAAAACCTTGCTGATGGATAATACGGTACTTTCACACAAACGGATGAAGTAAATCGATTCCATTGAAACAGAGCTAAATCAGGGAGCGGTGGACTCTGATTATGAGATCGGGTTACCTGAGTACTATAAGGGTTTTGTATTGTACGGAATTTTGGAGTTCCTCGAAGAAAAGCTGCTTTCCTCGCCAATCTCCACATTTCCTTTCCTTTGTGATGATCGGAGGGAATGGTGGATCCGTGGTGGCGGAAATAGGAAGAGCAGCGGTTGCTAAAACCCTAGACTGGAAGGGTTTTGATTTTGGGCTATGGGCTCATTTTTCACTTTAGGATAATTTCAGAAACATCTCTGGAGATTTCTGACAATTTCACTATCGTCCTCTGAAGTTTTGAAAATATCACTTACCTCCTTTATAGACCATAAGTCATTTGGAGTTCAATGTTTATCTCATCGATGGTCAACTAACTTTAC